ATTGTCATATCTGTATTCTTCATAATTCCCTTTACGTCTCTTCTGGTTACGTTTCTGTCTTTCTTCATATCTCTTGTTGGGTTTAGTTTGATCTGTTGTATATAAAGTCTCTACCGTGTAATCATTTGAGCTTGCGTCGTCAATTTCGTGCAATAGATTTGCATCCTCTCGAGCCGTTTTTATAGTTGCGAGTTGGTTTCGCGTTTCCTGTATTGTTTCGTTTCTTACCTTCGTTCTCATCTCGTAGATGACATCTTCAGGAAATTTCTCCATAACTAAGAACCTAAGGTGGTTGTGGTTTATATCCTCTCCTAAGGAGTGTAACACGCGTAGATGTCTTTCGACCTCGTTTAAAGTTCTTCGGCAATCGCTTGTAGATTTATCAGATGTCTTTATTCTGTATAACGCTCGATAGCGGGCATCGACTATCTGGGTTGGTTTCCCATATCTATCCTTTAATGCTCGTACTGCGATTTGATAATTCTGCTCAGTCGTCGGTAAGCCTTCTATTTCTTTCTTCGCTCCGCCCCTTACGAAGGACTTGAGGTACAACAACTTGTCGACGTCTGACAAATTCCTATTATGTATGTTGCAACTAAACTGGTCCCAAAATGTGTGCCATTCAAGGATATTACCATCAAACACGGGCAGATCAAATTTAGGAAGTCTTCCAGATACCCAGTTATTGTCGTTATTGGTCTGTATTACTTTGGATTTATTTTTAATTTTAACGTTAAGTTCGCATAATGTATCCTCCACCTGTAACTGAACTGTACAAATTTCAGAGATATCATCTGGTGCAGTCTCCTTACACATACGGAAATAGTTTGTCATTTCTGATGTCAGTGTATTTAGCAAAGCTTGCAACTGGCTACTTATAATTTCTGCTTCTTGTATCGTACGAGAGTCAGTATCTATATTGTCAAGGGTTTCTTTTATTGATTTATTTGCACTGTCTGACAACAATTTTAGTTTGTCTTTCATTAAGTGTAATACAATTAAGTTAGGATCCATCTTGAGAGCTTCAGGTAACCTGGCAAGGAATAAATTATATAATACTCTCCTTTGTATTGGTTGTATGATTAAATTGTATTTAAAGTTTATTATACATATAGTATATTTTATCACACATGACCTATTTGTTTCATATTACTCAATGGGTTTGTGCACTACTTAATTTATACTGTCTCATGATAGTGATTTCGCACAATTGTGACGTACACTTCAGAACATTATTCCAGAACACTAGACAATGGAGTGTGGTATTAGTATTGGGTGATTACTAAAATATACGATGGATAGCTTGCCCTTTATTAATTATTATTACTATTATTGAGAGCATACTTCTCATTAGCCAGTAAATTTCATTTTTACTATATTTAAATCAGAGTTAACTTGCAATTTAATTATTTAGTATTTTCATTAAAACAAAATCATTTGTCGTGGTTATTAACTTATAATTGCAGTGCCTTGATCGTTTAAATTTCCTGTCCTTTATCTCAGGAAATAATAAGTTCACTTAGTTGTTATTCACACAGATACTGCCAAGAAGTAGTAATGTGTATTGGAGCCTTGAATGATAGTTGTTTACGCCGTAACACCGGCCCGCGGGCGCGGTATGAAGGAGGGCGCGGGGCGAGGAAGCCCCGGCGCCGGCACTGCTACTGGCCAGAGCGGCGCGTACGGACGCGCGCGCATTTTCATATACAACCTTTACATAAGTGATATTCTATATTTTTATTAAGAGTCTTTATTACAAGTTTACAGTACAAATAACCCCCTTTCATTTATAATGCTGTAAAGCTTGAACATAAGAATTGGCGACCGTGACAGGACTCGAACAGCTCAACCCCACGTTTTGCAAAAAATACGACGCGGCCGTGCAAACGAGTATGCCGCCATTTTGCTGCGATGTGGCACAAATGCTACGAAGATCTCGGAGGCAACGTCCGCAAGGTAGTAATGAATGAAGAAGGCAGGTGCTGAACTAGCTTCCAGGAGTGCAGTTGAAGTTCTCCAAGTGCTTCACTTCCCTGCCAAACCAGGAACGTGCCGTGAGCCCAATCCTTTATATACCTACCTATATCTAAAGTGGTTAATATTCGCTGAATTGAATTTATAGGTTAGCCTTTGGAGTGCCGCGTGTTTCCTACGCTTCGAAGAAGCTTCTCCGCGCATGTGCATGTACAAAGGCAATGAAATAAGCCAGTTGTCAGTCATATTTTCTTGAATACCGCAAGTCTTTCGCCGAAACTGCACATAAAAACCTATTGTAATTTGAATGTACTATGCGCAAGTGCTTATGCATTGTATGTATGCAGATGGAATTTAATACCTATGCCTCGATGTTTTACGGTTTTCAATTATAAAGTTCTATTCTAGTGCTAAATTTAACATTTATTCTCACTTTTTGTCCCACATTTTACGTCCCTTGTTAGACGCCATTTGCAATTCTTGCACGAACATTCCAGGTTGCGCTTCGTAGGCGTACTAGGGGCGCGCGCGCGCACAGGTGCCGTCGTGCTATTTTGTCGAGACTGGTTGTCAATCTCCGCGTCGCATTGGAACAAAGGGGCGTAAGCCGTAAAAGCCGATTTTAGATACTTTTAACTTTTGCAAGGTTCGCTTGTTTGTTTTTTGTTAATTTCCTTTTTTTAACATACCCAATGGGAAGATGGAGTCCCAGATTTTAGAACTTAAAATTAAACGTAGTTCCTTAAAAGGGCAATTATTCGGTAATTATTTAAATAACTTAAAGGTTGACGAACCGCTGGGTGAATTAAAGTTTAACGAATTAACCTTAAAGCTAAATAGAATCATTGATTTATCCGCGAAGTTCGATGAGCTGCAAACTTCCATAGAAGTCTCGAGCCCGGGTAACCTTGATAGCGAGCTCTCAGAACGTGAAGAGGTAGAAGACAATTTTCATTTATCCATCGCTACTGCACAATGCTTTCTCGATAAGGGGGCAGCTTCTAAACAAAAAACTGTTCCTCCATCTGAGCATACGTCCAATAGTTCCCATCATGCCGATCATATGGGCTTCCAATTGCCACAAATTCGCATCTCTAAGTTTGATGGGTCTTATTACAAATGGATGGAATTCAAGGACACATACGAATCTTTGATACATTTTAATGATCGAATAAGAGCTATTCATAAATTTCATTATATGAACTCATATTTGGAAGGTGAAGCCTCTCGAGTTATATCCAATTTGGAGATCTCAGAACTTAATTATTCTGAGGCTTGGGATCTTTTGTGTGAAAGGTACAACAACAAACGACAATTGATCACCAATCATTTAAACTCCTTGTTGAACATTGAAGTAATTCAAAAGGAATCTGACAAGGCCTTGCGGTTTCTAAGTGATAATTTAATAAAAAATTTGAGAGCGCTCAAAACGCTTGGCCAGCCCACTGAGCATTGGGACACTGTTCTCATACATATATTTTCAACCAAATTAGATCCAAACACAAGTGCTAAGTGAGAGGAGTGCCGTAGTAGCTTGTCTGATTTGCCTACAATGGATGATTTCAGAAAGTTCCTTAAGAATCGTGCAGATGTCTTAGAAACTATTTTTAGATCCAAAAGGGATAAGGATAGAAACAGTAACAAAATTGAAACGACAAATAACAAGGGCTCTTATAGACAAGATAAAAACATAAATACATTTGTCATTTCAGCCAAACAAAGTAACAACAAGGGTCGGCCGTGCGTCGTGTGCCACGGCGACCACCGCGTGTACGACTGCACAGTCTTCAAGCATCTCACCGTCGTCGAGGAGAGATGGGCGCAGGCTTCTAAACTCCAACTGTGCCATGTCTGCTTGCGCGCGGATCATGAGTCGCGCAATTGTAAATTGGGCGGCTGCCGTGTGTGTAAGAAACGTCACAACACATTTCTACACAAAGACACAACACAACCCACACCTCAACCTAGTAGTGCTAACATGGATCAGAGCGCACAGTCCACTTCCGCCATTGTTCAGGCTCCTCTAAACCCTAATGTGAACATACCGAGTGTGTCCACATCGGCGCTGTCCAGTAGTGAAGTTCTATTGTCCACAGCGTTAGTTGAAATATTTAATCCTTGCAACAATAGGAAAGAAATAGTGAAGGCTCTGTTAGATTGTGGAAGTCAATCTTCTTACATAAGTGAAAGCTTGAAGCTTCACTTACAATTACCCTCACTACCCTTAACTGCCACAACCATTTTAGGTATAGGCAACACCCCACTAAAATGGGTCCCTGGGCGCTGTACAGCCCATATACAATCATTGTCGGAAAATTTTACGGCTAAATTAGACTTTTTAGTCCTTAATGAAATAACTGATAATTTACCAAGAAAATATTTTGATAAAAATAAATTACAAATACCTTCAACGATGAGACTGGCGGATCCTACCTTTAATATCCCCTCTCACATAGACGTCCTTTTAGGTGCTGACATCTTCTGGCACATAGTAGGAGGTCAACAAAAACCCTTGGCCAACAAGCCAACCATGCTCATTGAATCAAAATTAGGTTGGGTGATAGCGGGCTCCGTGGTGAGCACGAACCTTGCCACCAACTCTCTCACTACTCGAAGCAATCTCTGTCTTGCTGATATTTCTTCTCAAATGACTAAGTTTTGGGAGAACGAGGAGCTACCCTCAGCAGAGCTTTGTTCGAGTAGGAACAGTTCTTCCGTCAAGCACCCGATAGAAGAACATTTTACTGAAAATACTAATCGCTTAGAAAGCGGTCGTTTTGTTGTCAGACTTCCATTAAATGATACGCCAGATTGTCTGGGTAATACATTTTACATGGCTAAAAAACGTTTACTTAATTTAGAGAAACGTTTTCATAAACAACCTGAACTAAGAAACACATACCACAATTTTATAGATGAATATTAAACAGTTAGGGCACTTATCCGAATCTCAATCATTGTCTCATCCTAATTATTTACCTCATCACGCAGTAGTGAAGGAAAACAGTGAGTCCACGAAATTACGTGTCGTTTTTGATGCCTCTTGTCCAACCTCCTCTGGATATAGTATTAACGACATCCAGATGGTTGGTCCGTGCATACAAGACTCGCTTTTTAACATTCTTCTTAGATTTCGCCATTATAAGTATGCACTGTCAGGTGACATAGAAAAACAGTACAGGCAAATTTTAATGAATGAATTGGATAGAGATTTACAAGTAATTTTGTGGCGCGAGGACGAGCACTCGCCAATACGCCCACTTACTTTGAACACAGTAACTTATGGCTTCGCCAGCGCAAGCTTTATAGCCGCTAGGTACTTGTGGCAGTTGGGGGAAGAGTGCAATGACCCCAATATAAAAACAATCGTACAACAGGACTTTTACTGTGATGATCTTTTGACATGTGCTGATACAGAATCAGAGTTACTGTATATACAAGCAGCAGTGTCAAAGGCTCTAACCGCTGGTTGCTTTAATCTGCGTAAATATAGGTCAAACTCCCGTACAGTATTAAACTCTGATACCATTAACTCACAAGATAATTTAGCTTTAAGTCAATCTTGCCAAACACTTGGCTTGGGATGGAATCCAAGCCAAGACACTTTACACTTCTCTATTAATACATCTAATGATGATAAAAAATGTGCCACTAAAAGATCAATTTTATCAACAACTTTTAAAATCTTTGATCCCTTAGGGCTGTTGAGTCTATGTACTGTCAAGCCCAAAATATTAATACAAAAATTATGGAAGGCCAAGCTAGGATGGGACGAACCCGCCCCTCCTGAAATTCAGCGTGTATGGTCACGTTTCATTACAAATATACACCAACTCAAAGATTTTTCAATTCCTAGAAATATAATAATTAATTCGCCATGGACAATAGAATTTCACTGCTTCTGCGACTCATCTCAGTTAGCATTTGCCGCATGCATTTATGTTAAGTCCATTTCGAGTACGGGTGAGCAGTGTGTCAATTTATTATGTGCAAACATTGACTTACAATTATATGGACGTCGGGTCCGCGCTAAAAAGTGTCCGCACTTGTAAGGCGCTAAAATCGTATACAGAGCGCGACAGTCTTCATTTGTTCTACTGACAGCGCAATACTGCGACGACATTACAATTTAAATTTCGAATAGGTTGACTTGGGACATTTTTTTCGTGGTTTTTGTATTAGACCCGTCGTCCATTTATTTGTAAGTCAATGTGTGCAAAGGATAGGTTGGGCCCCGTGAACCCTATCAGTATTCCTCGAATGGAGCTGTGCGGAGCTCTGTTGGCTTCGCAAACATGGTCAGCTGTAATCGCAGCCCAAACTAAGAAAGCCTATTTTAAGAACTATTTTCTGGACTGATTCCAGTGTAGTCCTAGCATGGTTAAAAACTGACCCATCCAAGTTGAATGTTTTTGTAGGCAACAGAGTTGCTGCTATAGCCGACCTTACTTCGAATTCTACTTGGAGGTATGTGCCCACGGCACACAACCCCGCAGACCTAGCCTCTCGCGGCGTTGACCCACAGCACGTCGCTAAATCTTACCTATGGTGGCATGGGCCCGAATTTCTTCTGGAGCCAGAGTCCAGTTGGCCCACACTAGAGAAGGCCTCACACCAAGGCTTACCAGAATTAAGAATAACAGCAATGCTGGCTAATACGGATTCACTCGATGATCAATGTACAATAAACTTCGAAAAATATTCTCGATTAAGAACATTGCAACGTGTTGTTGCATTTATACTTCGCTTTATAAGTAATTGTAAGTCTAAGAAGCCTAGTGACAGGCGCGTTAACCGCACAAGAACTAAATGAGTCTTTCCACACATTAATTAAACTTTCACAAGCAAAATCATACAGGGAGGAAATAAAAACATTACACAACAACAAATACTTATGTACTAAATCTCAATTGTCGTCTCTGACACCTTTCATTGACTCTCATGGTATCATGAGAGTGGGGGGGAGGCTGGATGCTTCTGCATATAGCTATGACAAGAAGCATCCCATGTTATTAAGTTCAAAACACAAACTAACCACACTCATTTTTAAACAAGAACACATACGTCTCTTACACGCAGCACCACAGCTACTATTAGCGTCAATAAGAGAAAGCATATGGACTATTGGAGGTAGAAGCTTGGCGCGACGCACGGCCCGCAATTGTGTTACTTGTAGACGAGCCAAAGGTCACACTTTAAAAAATATAATGGGTAACTTGCCATCTCAACGCCTAACGCCCGATTTTCCATTCGCTGCCGCTGCAATCGACTTTGCAGGGCCGTATATGATTACAGATCGTCGTGGACGTGGGTGTAAAATAACTAAATGCTACCTATGTTTGTTCATTTGTCTTAGGTACAAATGCATTCATTTGGAGGCTGTAAGCGAGCTATCCAAGGATGCCTTTGTATTAGCTCTACGGAGATTTATCGCGAGAAGGGGCAAGCCTAAGGATCTGTTTTGTGATAATGGTCGAAACTTTGTTGCGGGCGCGCGAGAAATAAATGAGTTTTTAAAGAGCAATAAAGACAATGTGAAAGAGTTTGCAGCTGACGAAGGCATTCGTTTTGTTTTCTCACCGGCTTACGCTCCTAATTTCAACGGCTACGCGGAGGCAGGCATTAAATCGGCAAAGTTTCATCTAAAACGAATTCTAGGAAACACGCATTTGACATTCGAAGAGCTCTCCTCATTGTTCAGTCAGGTGGAGGCTATTCTAAACAGCAGACCACTCTGCCCCCTCTCCCCTAGTCCCAATGATTTTTCCCCGCTCACGCCAGGGCACTTTCTGGTTGGTAGGCCTCTGATGTCGCTACCGACTGCACCACTGCACGACGCCAACCCTGATCGACTGGACCGCTACAGAAGGCTCGAGCAAATACGGCAACACTTCTGGAAGCGGTGGAGCACAGAGTACGTGTGCGAGCTTCAGCAGCGCTACAAATGGCGAGCTAGACATCGAGACCTGCAGCTGGGCGAGCTCGTCCTCATTAAAAACGAGAGCCTGCAACCGTTACACTGGCGTATGGGCCGGGTCAGCAAGATGTACCCCGGCCCTGACGGCATCCCTCGGGTGGCAGACATAGCCACATCCCGGGGCATCATCCGGCGGGCGCTCAACAGGATCTGCCCCCTGCCATCTACACAAGACTCTTGAAGACTGGTCTTCAAGGGCCCGGAGTGTGTTTACGCCGTAACACCGGCCCGCGGGCGCGGTATGATGGAGGGCGCGGGGCGAGGAAGCCCCGGTGCCGGCACTGCTACTGGCCAGAGCGGCGCGTACGGACGCGCGCGCATTTTCATATACAACCTTTACATAAGTGATATTCTATATTTTTATTAAGTCTTTATTACAAGTTTACAGTACAAATAACCCCCTTTCATTTATAATGCTGTAAAGCTTAAACAATAGTCTATTAGTTCACATACACAATGTCTCTTATAATTAAGAGTCTCAAACATAACGAAGGTAATTTTAAATCTTCACTTCAGTTGCAAACCTATTTTTAGACTCAGGTTCAACCTTCAAGACAGAGATCTGCCTTGGCGTTAACTCTCTTGGTACAAAATAAATTTGTCTGACTGGCAGAAAGAGATCAAATTTTGAATCAATTCTTATGGTTCACATACAATATTTATTGAAATAAATAACCTATTGCCTAATGATATGAAATGTAAACTAATGAATTGATTAAATAGCAAGAAGCAATTTTAACTAAAAAATGGTATTACATAATTCTGGAATACTCCCCACTAATTTTAAATGAAGTTTCCAAGTAATTGTTGAACTAGTGTTATAATTTTACTGTTTAATTATTACCTTTGACTATTTATAGCAAGTTTATTTACTTAATTTCATTTAACTTCAAATGTAATAATAATAATAATGATGCACTTAATCAAGTGACACCCTCAATTTTATTTAGAATATATTTAGACTTGACATTGCTATGGAGATTTCGCGCTGAACTGTATTGACTACTATGGTAATTGGCACTAGAAGGTAATTTACCATAACGAAGGAATGATAATATCTAGTATACCTTTATTTGTTAGCCACCGACGCCTGGTATACTGATAGCCGACCTTTACAATCTCATCAATCCTTAACTTGACAGAATTAGAAGTTTTCTAATTTCCTTTTTTTTTCTAAAATTTCTCCTTCCAACCTTTCGTACTTCAGGATTTCTGTAACAACATGTACTTGATGAAAGATTTCATATCTTGTCGGTAGGGAATCGAACCGTCGCTCATCACAACCTTAGTTGTGTTCAATGCTCTTTAACTTACGAATAAGCTATTTGTTCAGTTATAGTATATGTATTTATTTTACGAAATCACTCTGGGAATGGTTTCACGAAGATTTAAACACCGGTTTCTAAGAAATTGCGACGTTAGTAGATGTTGAAGTGCACTACAATCGTAATCGCGCAACCATATCTCAATAATGTAAATCGGCACTGTAAATTAAGCTCCCTTTAATACTTCCATACAATTTAGAGACGAATCATTTCATATAGAACAAATAATTCCGGGTAGGCAATTCCAATTGGAAAATATGGTAGTACGTACACACATCAAAAAAAGTTTGCGATCACTTCGAAAAACTGAAATCTTTTTTGTTACTGTAGATTATATTATGATTTTTTTCTTCTTTTTAGATTCTTTATTTAAAAATAAATTAGAACATAAAACAATGACCCCGTTCAATTGTTTTTTCATATAAAAAGGCTTTCAGTCCTAGCTTACGCTCATTCAGAAATCTGATTTAGTCAATTATAAGCGATTCAAGATATTTTTCGCGGAAAGTTGTGATTGAAAAAATGCCAAGAGGATTATCAGAGGTTTTACGAGCTAGAATAGTAACTTTGAGGGAAGAAGGATACACCACGAGAGTAATAGCACGCAGACTTGCTATATCCCAATCCTGTGTCGTGGCTACGTTGCAGAGGTATCACGGAATGGGGAATTTAGCTGACCGACCCCGCAGCGGTCACCCAACTGTTTTGACAGCTGCCCAAAAGCGCTATATTAGATTGCTGGCAGTCCGTGATCCAACAATCAACGCCACTAAAATAAAAGCAGAAGTCAGGGCCGCCTCTGGGCTTGAAGTTAGCATGCAGACTGTTCGCAATTGCTTGCACCAGGCTGGATTACGAGCACGGAGGTCTTGGCGAGCTCCGCTCAATTCCCGGCAACGTCAACAACGAAGACTGCAGTGGGCTAGACTTCGGCAAAATGAAGAAGGTGAGGACGAAAACATTTGGCAAAACTGTCTCTTCGTTGACGAATCCCGAATCAGCACTCCAGATAACCGACGTGTCCGTGTCTGGAGAAGACCAGGCGACCGTGAAAGACAAAGAACTGCCACTGGAACAGTTCAGCAAGGCGGAAAATCGGTGTCCTTTTGGGGTGGCATTATGATTGGAGCTAGAACGCCTTTGATCCCGTATCGGGGCTTCATGACAGCAGACATGTACAAAGCAGTTGCTATTGATGATATCGTCAGACCATTCCGAGTAAACCATGGGCACCAATTTGTACTGGTCGATGATAATGCGCCCGCACATCGAGCTCAACGAGTCAATGCTGCTCTTCAAGAATACGATATCACACGATTAGACTGGCCTGCCGGCTCGCCCGACTTAAACCCAATAGAGCACGCGAGGGATGCTCTTAAACGAGCAGTATGGAACCGTGAGCCACGTCCCCAGACAGTTCCAGAGCTCAGGGAAGCCGCTATTGAAGAATGGGATAGGTTACCCCAGGAAATGCTGGATAACTTGATCCTCAGCATGCCCAGGAGGATCTTCGCATGTATTCGAGCCAGGGGAGGAGTTATTTTATATTGAATTCACACCTTTTAATAATAAATTGTTGTTTAAGTTTAATTAAACAGTCTTTTTCTTTTTATGAAATTTCTATCACTATTACATTATGATTAATGGCTCAATTTTTTAAAATAAATAATAAAAAATAGTTTTATATTTTAATTTCAAACAGGGTATTCCTATTCAAAGAAAGCATACAACATACTTAGAATAATAACGCATAGAAACCTAGCCCGCACACGCTAAGTGAGGCAAGTTAGAGGGTTCCAAACGCGTCCCAGGAGCGCGCGGGCTGTTAGTGCTCAAGGTCATATTGCACCGCGAACAGCTCCAACATTTTTTGCTAAAAATGACGAAATGTGCGGTAAATGGGTGTAAAAATACAACAGACAAACATAAAATAGACACTAACATCGCATTCCACAAGTAAGTAATGCGTTTCAACTCATATTTTTATGTAAATATTCACTAAAACAGAAAAATAATTTCGCGGCAACAAGATACGAAAGTGTTGCAAAGTAACGAATTTTTTTTCTCCCCATTTTGCTATTCTGTATCAAAATAATTATATTACGTAAATTTTAGTGGTGCCTGTAATTTAGATTTATTTGCGCATCTTGAACTAATATTTACTTTAATAAACATTAAATGTTTTCGTTAACTCCTGTAAGTGATTGGGACACTTAATTATTTTATAATACTTTTAACGGCTCTGCGTTCATGCTTTATCGAATAATTATTTATTTTAATTTTATTTGAATTGGAACACATATTGCAACAAATTTACAGTACTTATATATTTGTTTCTACTATAGTGTTGGCACCACCAGTACAACTTTGATAGCTTATTATATGTCTTTCTTTTCGTAACTCAAGCGAAATATTTTATATTAAAATATTTTATTTTCTTAAAAGGGGAGCATTCTTAAGCGATTTTTTAATCTATTTTAACAGTTATTTTATTTAATGTTTGCTTATGGCATTTTCGGTTTTAGGTTTCGAATATGGCACTTATTTCTAAATCCAAGATGCGGGCGCGATTTTTCGAATAATGGCAAGTTGGGTATAGTTTTCGAGATGTTTGGGAATGTTCAATACAAATATGGCACTCATTTCTAAATCCAAGATGGCAAACACGACAGTTCAAACAAAAGCAATATTCGTAATGAGCACCCCCAAATACCTCGAAAACGATAACCAACTTGCCATTATTTGAAAAATCGTGCCCGCCATCTTGGATTTACAAATAGTGCCATATTCACATTGAGCATCCCCAAATACCTCGAAAATGATACCCACATAGCATTTTTTTGAAAAAATCGTGCCCGCCATCTTGGATTTAGAAATGAGTGCCACATTCGTAATGAGCACCCCCAAGTACCTCGAAAATGATACCCATATTGCATTTATTTGAAAACTCGTGTCCGCCATTTTGGATTTAGAAATGAGTGCCATATTCGTAATGAGCATCCCCAAATACCTCGAAAATGATACCCATATTGCATTTTTTTGAAAAAATCGTGCCCGCCATCTTGGATTTAGAAATGAGTG